GACTAAGTGTTTTGGTGTCAAATATCTAACGGTCAATGTGCTTTTAAGCGAAGCGCACATTGGCGCGATTCTGTTGTTGCGAATCCGCAAGCCCAAAAATTACAACAATGCTACCCATACATTTTAATGCGCTAGCGCACACTTGCACGATTCCGTCGCTGCGAATTTTTCGAACATTCAATGTTCCTCTCTATTGACGCGTTCGAAACGCGGCTTGCAGCGTTTTGAAGACGTCAAAGAAGAAGAAGAAAGGTGTCACAGCAATAAAGGCAAAGAAAAAAAAACGTGTAATGTACAAAAACTAATAAAAACGTTCGTAATAATAGTATTTTGTACGATTTGGGCACGCCGAGTGCGAAAATACACGAAATAAAGGGAAAATTGAGTGAATTGTACATCGGGAATCGACGCGAAAAAATCGCTCAAGTGTGCGCACGTTTGCGGATTCGAAGTTAACAGCCGAATTCGCAACGTATTCGCAACGACAGAATCGCGCCAATGTGCGCTTCGCTTTAGGCTCTCGATGTATTTTAGTTACGGATAGAGATATCAGTACATTGAATAAATGCTAAAGTTAAAATGCTTTTTCTCATTGCTTTTGTTATTTCATAGTTTTTTTTGGCGCGATCAAGAACTGTGCGTCAATAAGCATTTTTGTATTACAGTTTGATTAGTGAAAAGTAATTTCACTGGCTGGTAGTATAAGGTTAGCGATGCACAGGAGTCGATTATAATTAACATTTACCTCCAAAATTAGTTAATATGCTCTAATTGTGGCGAAAGTGAGTGAACAGGAATACTGTAATTTATAACTGATTTACAGGAAAAGTGGCTGCTAGAGGGCTAAATGAAGAAGAAATTTTTGATTTTCTCGAAAATCATTCCGATCTTGAAGAAGAATATGAAGATCATGAAGCAGAAGTGGTGGAATTTGAGGTGCCACAGGTAAAAGCATAGGACTTCGTGGTTCAGGAACGAAATATTTAGGGCATTCCCCTAAACTCGTAAAGTCTTAAACTGTGTAAAACTCGTAAGTTTACGAGGCTTTTATGGGAACGCCCCCTTTGTGAAAAGGGTGCGTAAAGTGGCTGTTTGACAGATCAATCAGGATTTTGTGAAGTATGGCTGAGTTCCAAGTTGGTATATTGCAAAGCATCAGCCTCTTTTATTTCTAAACTATAACTGATGGAAATGTCCAATATGCGCAACCATGTTCAAATGCCGAATTGGAACTTCATTCAATTTATTCGCTTATATATATATTTTTTTAATTTATTTTCATTATATTAGCATATATTTTAGTATAACAATTTTGGCCCCTCGGCAAAACTGAAGTTTACAAGGTCGTTTGCGCACCATATTTGCCTCGTAATTTTACGAGGGGCTCGTAAATAGAGCTCCATACAAATTTTAACTTTACGAGGTTTCCGAGGCTTTTACGAGTTTAGGGGAAGACCCCTATTATTGAAGGTTATAATGAAGGCGTTGAAGAAGTAGATTTGCCGCTTATTACCACAGCTGAACTATCTGAAATGGAAATTTCAGTGAGTGAACAAGAAGCAGGGCCAAGCGGTGACGACCCCTTGAAATACACAGCAAAAATAGATATTAGATGCCGGAAAAATCCTGCGGTAAAAGCGGTATTCCTTATGATTTCTTCCTATATCAAGGATCGACAGTCGAAAATAAATGAAAAAAAATAATACGCGAATAAAAAGAATGAATTTCCTCCACTAACTGTATTGATTTAGTTTTTCGGCGTTTTTAACTGTATTTTAGCCACGGCGGGATGTTATGGAAAATACTACGAAACAAAAATTGCTTCACAAAATCCCGGTTGATCCTTACGAGTTTTACACGGTTTAAGACTTTACGAGCTTAAGGGAATCCCCTAAATGTTGTTTCTCTTGTACGATAACGATTCTGTAGAATGCAAAAATGTTAAAATAATTTTAAAATTTAACATTTTATTTAAATCTTGCACAAACTTGCACCAGATATGGAGCTAGTGTAGTTTAGTGCAGTGCAGTGTTGCTGCGAAGCATTTTTGGTGGTATCAAAATTCCTTTAAAAAAGGGCTAAAAAAGGGTTAAAAAAAGTCCTTGTGGCTAAAAAATGGTAGCTAAAATTGTTTACTTACATAATCATATATAAGTATACACGCAAACATTTTCAATAAGTAATGGTATAGAAAAACAATGAACTATGGAAAAAAACTAATATTTTATCCAATCAAAAACCTTTTTGTTTAAAAATATATATATACGACACCAGCTTACTGGCTCGATCAAGTGATTGTACCATCAGGCTCGAAGCATATACATAACTTACCAGCATGCTGGTACAATATTTCCCAGCAAAAAACACGATTACCACAGAAACGAAAGTGGAAACGAGCTAGGCGATGGGAATCGCTTAACCGTTCGCTTCAAGAAGGCATTATTTTATCATTGGCATGTCATTGGCGGTAAGCCCTTACCCACAGCATTTCCTTCAAACGAAGGGAGAACGCATGGATAAACAGAATCCAGAGAAGCGAACAAAGAATGCCTTACAGAGAAACTAATGTAGAATAAGTACATACTTATTTATATTAAATTGAAATCAGAAAATGTCTTAAAAGATTAAAATTAATTAAAATTTTTATAAATCAGTTTTTATACATACATATGTATATATTTAGGTATTAGATTTTTCTTAAAAATCGGTATGTACGTACATGCATATTTAATTAAGCTTAAAATTGTACTTCCTCACTCTTGTACTTCACTTCATTGACTGACTTCAACTTCGCTGCAAATTGAACAAAGCAAAACATGATTTTTATGCGAGACAAATTTCCACAGAAAGTAAGGCCCTGTCTCCACAGGAAAACACTGATGTCGTGATAACTATGTCACAAAATATATTTCCAATGGAGACCGCCTATTTCTCATGGGCTGCAATATATGTCAGCGCTTATTGCTGGACATCTATTGCAGGCAATTCAATAGTTTGACAGCCATATTTTCATTTGAAAGAAAGCGTGCTGGTGGTAACATCGATGAAATTTTTATATTAAATCAAAATATAAGGCTGTTCCTTATTGGATTATTTATGATTACGTTTTAGGAAATTATTCAGCAAGTTTTTTAAAGATTTAAATGTTTTTAAACACCGAAATTGAGAGAATGTTGTCTGGTGACGTCATGCGGCAAATGCTTATTTCACAACATCAAAGTACCCACACACAAAAACTTGCAATCACATTGCTCGTCAAAATGACAGTTGGTAGGCCATCGGTGTTTGCCTGTGGAGTTCTGCGGTAACGGTAGAAAAAGAATTTTTGGATATTCCTTCTATTTTTCAGCTGACTACGATGCTGTATTCTACTTTGCATTCCCTGAAATGAAACAAAGAAGCGAAATAAAAAATAAAAAAATAATATTTTAGGACATTCTACTTTGCATTCCCCTAAATGAAGCAAGGAAGTGAATAAAAAAAAATATTATAAGACATACTACTTTGCATTCCCCGAAATGAAACAAAGAAGCGAAATAAATAAAATATTGTAGGACATTGTACTTTGCATTACCGGCAAGGCCTAAAAGAAGCCAACAAATTCTTAGGCATTATAACGCTATGCCTTCTAGAGCACGTTACCACTAAAAGCGATTACCGATTTTTTGCTGAGTTATTTCTTTTCATATGAGGTCGAGGAAAGATCGAAATAATGTGAGCCGAAATTTCATAATTTTTCTACCATTTTGTTAAACATTGTTTTTTTTTTTTAATTCACAACTGCAATATCGTGAACTTAATATTCCACAAACACGGCTTTGACTCATATAGTGCAAGAAATTTCCTCCAAAATATTTTTTACTTAGAAAATTGAGCTAATTTCACCACTCACGACACCAGCATGCTGGTACAATCATAAAATTTTCAAATAGGTTTTGTAGTCGCACCAGCAGCTGGTACAATCACACCACAAGAACATACACGGTCAATAGACTTGATGGGCCATTTAACAAATGACCGATCTGGCTGGTTTAAACTAAGATCAGCCAATTAAATGTCAGCCAGCTGTTCAATTTAAACTCAGTTTACTTAATCTGAGTTTAAACTAGCACTGAAAAAGTGGCCCTAAGGGCCGTAAACTTATCTATTTTAAACTATAGTTAAAGCGTTAATAGATAAGTTAAAAAACAGCCCTAACACTTTTACAGTATTGTATGTATAAAAACGTAAGGAACATACAATACATATATGTATATATACAGTCTTTCTTAGTTTAAAAATTCATCTCTTACATAAATGCAAAAGAATTAGATCAAATTAAGCATATACAACTTTTTCATGCCCAGTACGAATAAATTCTCCAAAGGGCTAAAAAAAGTGCTAGGGGCAATTTTAAATAATATATAATATATGTGGCCAAAAAAAAGTATGTGGTAGCTAATTCTAGCCACCAAAGGGCTAAAATGGCAACACTGGTGCAGTGCGGAGACTTTGTGCCCCGTTTATACGGAAGTCGTTCATGACTTTTTCATACAAATGGTAATTTAGGCGTTGATGGCATATGCATGACTTTGTCATGCAGTGATCATTGATGTTATTCAAGCGACAATGTTCTGCAATGAATTTTTTATAAGTAACCGCTGCAAGACGCTGCCTGTTATAAGTCTTTTATAGGAGTACACTAGGGTTGCCAGACGTACTGCTTTTGGGAGTAAACGTACTCCTTTTTATTGCAATGTACTCCCAAAAAAAATATCTGGAAATGTACTCTTTTTTTACTTTTGTACTTCTTTTGTACTCCTTTTTCCAGCTATTCATTTTTTATCATATACTTCGCCATTCATATTGGGGCGAACACGAGTAAGCAAAGTTGAGTCTGATAGTAAAAAAGTGTAAGTAAATGCAATTGGAAAATCAAATATTGAACGTGTAACCACCGTATTATGGGTATTATATCCTTACTAAATATCTACTTCGAAAGCATTTTGCACATCCCTATGCTAGCTAAATAATTTAAAGCTGTTGGTGACAATCGCGCACATTTTCTTTGAAACAATTTTTTGCAATAATTACGAGAAGTTTATCATCAGGTAAGAGGAATATTGTAATTTCAATATTTCATATGGTATGAAAACAACAGTTTTCTAGCTCATCCCTTCCCCGCCAAAATGGAAAAATTATCTGAAAGCGAGTCGGATGAGCAGCCTCCCAAAATTGCAAAAATTGCGACAGCATCTCGGAGAAGAAAGAGCAATTTTAAAGCGCAATGGCTTACGGAGTTTAATTGGATACGAAAAACGCGAAATTCCACTGAAGCGAGGTGAGTACTTTTGTGCATATTTGCGATTAAAAGCTGTGACAGACGGCAAAGCTTATGCATATAATCTGGCACACATATGCACATAATAATTTTGACCTAACAGACGGCAGTTATGTGGATAAACGAGCCCCAAGGTCGTGGGTTCAAGTCCCACGGCCAATTGAATTTTCATTTATTTCGTTTTCATTCTTTTTTTATAAGTTATATATTTTGTTTACGTTGCTTTCAGTTAGTTAAGTAGTAATAGTAAAATAAAAAATGTGATATAAAATAAAGCATATGAAAACAAAATAAAGTAAAATTAAATATATAGATCAAATAAAATTAAAAAAATATAAAATAAATAATAACAAAAAAATTTTTCGCAATCGCTCCAACCGAGGGTCGAACCTGGCAGCTACAGGATTGTAGCCCGTAACTCTTACCACTCGGCTACCGCGGACATGAACTCGCGTGCTTTGTTTGCTTACTTATACAAAAGACAACAGGTGGCCGTTTTTACCAGTGTTGTCAACGAAAACTGCCCGGATCCGAGTTAATTCCCAAAAATTTCGTGCATTTGTTCGGCTGCTTATGCGCATTTTAAAGAGGAAAAAGCATGAGTCAAAACAAATAAAGGCTGTTTATGCAAATAATCGAGCCCGTTTGTCAACCGTATAAGATCACAGCGCAATTTTTGTACGTGATAAGTAAGTATGTGATGTGCCAAGAAATTCTGCAAACATATTAGTTGCGTTCCAGATGCTTAACGATTTGCAGGATTTACAGGAACAGCTGTTTTCTGCATTAATAACGGCATTCCTGTAAAAGCCTGCCCATCGTGAAGCATCTGGAACGCAACTAATCAGTTTCCAGCAGAATTTGAATTGCTTTATTTGTTTATTATTTATTTATTTGTTTTGCAGATGTGCTGCATGCAGCTGCAACTTTACGATTGAATACGGTGAGAAAACAGCCATATACCGGCATTTGAAACGTGCTAAACACGTTAATAATATGAAAACATTTCATAACCAATAATCGGTGGTCAGTCTTTTGACATCTGCGAAAAATTTAAATACTAGTGAAAAATGTTTGGCGGAGGCTGTATTTGCATACCATACAGTGGTTCACAGTCATAGTTATTTGTCGGCTGATAGTAGCGGTAAGCTTTTTAAGAAAATATTTTCTGATTCCGAAATTGCAAAGAACTTTTCATGTGGGCGAACAAAGTGTTCTAAAATCGTTACAAATATGTTGGCGAAGCACTCTATGATGTTGTTTTACATGATTTAGAAGAAAATCATCCGTTTTCGCTGTCAACTGATGCTTCTAACAAGGGAAATATCAAAACGTTTCCCATAGTATTGCGATATTTCAATAAGAAGTCAGGTATTAATACAAAACTTTTGAATTTTAGTAGTTTTCATTCCGAACTTTCACTTGACGTTGCAAATTTACTAAAATTTAAACTACAAGCAAATGCCCTAAATTTATTGAATGTAACAAGTTTTTGCGCAGATAATGCTAATGTGAATTTTGGAAGCAAGAAAAGCATATTCGTTGAACTAAAAAAAGAAAATTCGGAAATAATAGGCATCGGTTGCCTATGTCATACACTTCACAATTCGTTTAAGAATTCGCTTCAATATTTAAAATATTGTATCGAAAATATAATTCTAAAAATTTTTAATGAGTTTAACTCTTCAACCAAGAGAACAACAAAGCTTAAGGAGTTGTTTGAATTTTGTGACATAGAATGGAGTGAGATGTTACGCCATGTTCCAACTAGATGGTTAAGTTTAACCCCTGCTATTGAGAGGCTTTATAAAAATTGTAATGCGATAAAATGTTATATCATGTCACAAGAATATTGTCAAAAAATTTTAAAACAGTTTTTCGATCTTGATGTTGCGAAAGCTTACTTGGGGTTTTCTAATAAATGTTGGTAAAATTTTTGTCAATACAATAAAAAATTAGAAACTGATAACGAATTAGTATTCTTAAATCTGTTTAGTATAATGAACAAACTGTATAAAACGATTATTGAAAAAAGAAAACAGAAGTTTTAAGGAAGCATTGCCCAAACTGTTTGTAATAAGAGTAATAATAATCAGGAAGTAATATTGTTCAAAAAGCGAGCGGATGCATTTCTTAGTAATATAATTAATTACTTAGAGGAACATTTTAACTCTGATGATAACAAGTTTGAAACACAAAGCAATCTAAATTTAGATTCAACACCGTGTTTTAATTCTCTTATTGAAATAACAACATTTGTTTAATATAAGAGCTATTAATCAGGACAGTTTATTTGATGAATTTATTGCATTAAAAGGATTTTGTGACAATAATAAATAAAAAAATATTACAAAAAAATTGATGGAATTTTTGAACAGTGGCGCTTTTCCTAATCTGGAGAAAATATGCCATTATATTTTTTTCATTCCTCATTCAAATGCGGCGACGAAGAGAATATTTAGTTTAATGTTTAACTTTTGGCGAAAAGAAAGAAATAGGCTGTCCTTAGAAAATGTCGAGAGTGAACTCATTGTAAAAAAACAACTTCAATTTAACTGAAAACAGAAACTGGCGAAGATATCGTATCTAATATAAAAAAATCTGAAAAATATTAAATTAATTATAAGGCTTAAATTAAAAAAAGGCCATATATTCGAAGAGTCTGGAATTCTTTGCGTAATTTAGATATTTATTTTTTACGTTAATTGTTGCCTTGAAAAAGATATCTAAGATATCTAAGATATCTTTTTTGTTTGTTTGTACCTAATTAATGAAAACGATCTCAAATGTGTGATTATATATTTACTTTTTGTAAATTTGTAACAATAAATTGCATAAAACAAAAAAAAATGTACTCCTTTTTTATGTTTGTACTGCTATTTTTCTATCGAAAATATAAATGTACTGCTTTCACCGTTTCAAAATCTGGCAACCCTAGAGTATACCTACATGACATTGTCACCAGTGTCAAGCTCGGAACACTTTGACGACAGCAAGCGACAAGCAGCATCTGTCAAATTTTAAATACACACGTTCTTACGGACACAATTATTTTGACGACAGCACGACATCTTGGCTGCAGGACTGCAATTGTCGACGTCGCCAAATTAAATCTATTTCTAATTTTGCCGGCGACAATGAGTAGATGTAGTGCTGCAAAATTAAATTGTCGCAAAATTAATCACATATTCTTGATTGTTCATGTTTTTCTTATTTACTTAAATAAAAATACACAATTTGTGAAATAAATATACCAAAATGTCAAACTTTAAAATCGGCTGTTTGCTATGTCGCTGAGGTCTTCAAAATGTTTAAGAAGCTGGCTTCAAGGCGACATTTGTCGACAAAATGATGTCGCTGTCGTTACGTCGTGAAGTTGCAGTCGTCAAAGTGTTCCGAGCTTCATTGTCAGCTATATATTGCCACAGAATAAACAGTATACAGAAGACGCATGTCGACTATCCAACCAATTTGAATTTATGGTACGAGCGGTGAGGCAAGCAAGGGTATCACAAGCGGCGCTGCCTCTGTTACTTTAGCAGTATTTTCACTCGGCTGACGCTGTTAATTCCATCGTCGCTCAGCGTTGCCATAAGTGCAGATTTATCTTCAAAATGAAGATTTCCTTGGATCTTTTTTGTTATAAATCTTCGAATGAAGATTTTTCAGATATCCAAAAATTGCACTGAAAAAATCTTCAAAATTAAGATTTTTATATTGGCAAAAAGATTTTTCTTTTATGTCGACTACATACTACGTTTTCGAAAAAGTACTATACAACTCTAAAATTTTTGTCAGTGTACTCTAAGTGAAATTTTTCATGCTGCACGCCCTGTATTAAAAACGTCAATATGGGTAGTAACTTCACTTTAACCAAATGACAGGTGTCAAGTGCGATGCCATTTTGAATAACGAACACTAAGAAATGGAAAAGTTTATAACAATCACGAGGAAAAGAAAAGGTAATTATGTTTAGCAAGTTTACCTGTTATATTTAGTAGTGTATATACTCAATGAAAGTATTATGAATATATTGTGAATGTGATTTCCTATTTTAGAAGAAACTTCTGCAAATACCGAAGGAGGGATTGAACGAGACGCTGCCGCTGAGGAATACGTAGAGGTAGATTTTTCATAAAAAGAAAAAATACGCTTTGTTGACTGTAGTTTTGTTTATAAAGCGATCTAAAACAAAGAGGAGATCTTTTAACGCACATTGGGGAGATGATGAAGAATTTAAGAAGTGGTTAATAACAGGAGCGCACGGCTTACCGCGTTGTAAAGTATGTGGCGTCGATCTTAAAGCATCTGGAGGAAAAAAGGATTTAACTGCGCATGCAAAGACCACCAAACATATTGAAAATTCAAATGCAGTTAATATACACAAGGGAAGCAAAGAAATTATAGAAGGCATTCCGCGAGCAAAGTTTTTTGCTGAAATAAAAGTTGCGGCTTTTTGTGCAGAGCATAATATAGCCTTCACCAGCATGGATCATCTTTCACCTCTTATAAATAACACATTTTTAGAGTCGAAAGCGGCACAAAACTTCGCTTGTCGGCGTACAAAAACAACAGCTTTAATAAAAAATGTACTGGGGAAATCACAGCTGGACCACCTTCTGCAAAATATGCGTTGTAAACATTTTTCTTTGTGCGCAGATGAGTCTACGGACATATCGACATCAAAATTATTGTGCTTAGTTGTGAAAATTGAAGAAAATGGTAATGTACAAGATTTTTTTCTGACATGTTTGAAAATCACTAAAGCCAACGCGGAAAGTATATATGACTCAATAGTTAAATTTTTTAATGAAAATAATGTTGACTATAAGAAATGGTTATTAGGCTTTGCTGCTGACGGGGCTAGTGTGATGACTGGTGGAAAACACTCAGTCGCCACATTATTAAAAAAAGATTGCCCACATCTGTTTGTTATGAAATGCACCTGCCATTCTTTAGCCTTATGTTCAAGTAAAGCATGTGCACAGCTACCTTTAGAGGTAGAAAGTACGGTTAGGGATATTTACAATTTCATAGCTAACAGTCCAAAACGAATACATATATTTTCATCTTTGCAAGAGCTTTTTGACTTAAAACCTCTAAAATTGTTGCATCTGAATCAAACCCGTTGGCTCTCTTTAGAAGCAGCAGTCGTAAGAGTACTCGATCAGTTAGATATAATTCAACTTTTTTGCCTTCACGAGGAAGTTGAAAAATTTCAGGCAACTTTAAGAATTCTTGAGAATTTACGCAAACCATTATTTAAAGTATACTTGACGTTTATTAAGTACATTTTGAAGGAAATCAATAAACTTAACAAATTATTCCAAAGTGAGTCACCGAAAATTCATTGTCTTAACGAAGAACTAAATAATCTCTTTATGAAATTCTTAGATTCTTTTATATATATTGAAAATATTGACTTACTATCTCTGCGGCGTTTATATAATAACTCGGAATATATAAAGCCAGTAAATGAATTATATTTTGGAGCTGACACAGAATTGTTATTTAACGATTTGAGCTCAGCACAAAAATTAGAATTCTCACATAATGCGTTAAATTTTTATGTGGTTTTGTGTAATGAGATGCTTTGCCGATTCGATTTTACTGATAAAACCTTGAAAGGAGTGGAAATGTTGTCTCCTAAAAATGTTATAAGTAAAAAGCATTCGTCAATTATAAGTATATTTCAACACTTTCCAACTCTCAAAGTGAATAACATTCAAGATTTAGATTCTGAATGGAGAGAACTACGAACTTTTGATTTCAAAAATCGTGACTTATCTGAAGCGACAGATATAGAGACATTCTGGAAAGTAATTTTAAATTCAAAAAGAATGGATGACTCGCCTTCCTTTCCATTATTACAAAAATTAATTTGGTCTGTTTTAACAGTACCTGTATCAACGGCTAACGTCGAGAGAATATTTTCCCAAGTCAATTTAAACAAAACATTGATTAGAAACAAACTAGATGTGGAAACATTAAACGGAATTTTATATACAAAAGATTATTTAAAAAGAAACCAGATCAATTGCCACAATATGCCATTTGATATTAATTTGCTTTCATATATTAAAAACGACATATACTCTAATTGATAGATTAATGGCTGAATTCAGTAAGCTGTCTCTAGTCACTAATAGAGACTTTTCGTGGTGAAAATCGATTTTGAGACTAATTGGTATTCAGTAAGCTGTCTCACATCTCTAGGCTCAAAAAAAAGTCACTAATTTGTCAGCTGGTTTTCAAGAGGTCACAAAACGAAAATATACAATCAAACAAAGGAAAATTATGGAGGAAGAGATAATTGCTTTCTATTTTATCCTAAAAAAACGTGAAAATGAAGCGAGGTAATATTTGTGTAGCCCCAATTTTGGGTACTGTGTAGTTATTTACCCAACGATATCAGATTATTGTGTCCAAGGTCTAAATTAAAACGAAGCTCTAAAATTTCCGAGCAATTTATTGAAAAATTCGGTTTGAAATATGCACGTTTTGTGAATTGTGCGCAAAATTCTGTGGATCGCGTAGCCGGAGTTGGACTGATGAGGCTTATTTTTTTAGCGCAGCCGAAGGCCACCAGCGCGGAAAGAGGTTCTACACAAAAATACTGTGGACGGCGTAACCCTAGTTAACATTTTCTGTGTCAAACTGCTAATTTTATTCCATTTGCAAATGGATCCCCAGGGGTTAAGAGTTCGATGGGCAGGTATGACTCCGCCCACTTACCCAAAACTCGTGGGCAAATAACAAAACATTACCCACAATTTTTAGTAAATACAACTATATAAATGGAAATTTGCTTATGATCTAGGAATGTCCGCAGGCGAATTCTGGCAAGCTTGCGTGATACGGAGGATCCATTTTTGCTGCGGGAGGAGATTTTCAGCAGATTTCTTAGATTTCCGAAGTCGTTGTGCTGGGACCTAATCCAAGAATTAAAACCGCACGACAACTACAATCGGAAATCTAGAATTCGAGTAAGGATACTGCCCATACAAAAAGATATATATGCTTCACTAATTACTGCCTTCAATCTAGTTTATTTCAGTACTATATATCCTGTCGAATGGCTCCTACCAAAGCTGCATAGGAAATAGCCACTTTGCCGCAATGAGTCAGCCAAGCGTCTCGCGAAACATTAAACAGATATGCAGGATGGTTGTTGAACATAAACATGTCGAAATTAGTTTTCCCAATTCGGCTGACCACTACAACAGCATTAAGAGGGGGTAAGTTCTGTACACATTTTGAAATATACATTCATTTAACATTTAATTTATACAACATTTTCAGTTTTCACAACAAATTCGCTATTAAAGGTGTAATAGGTGCTATTGACTGCACACATGTCGCCATAATTTCTCCGCCATCTTCAACCGCTGGGGTAGTGCCTCATGAATACATGAACAGGAAGGGATATTGCAGCATTAACGTTGAAGCTGTAAGTATATAAAACGCATGGTTGAGCTAGCAACACATTGCAATATTTAATAAAAATCACCCTATTCGTAGATTTGTGACGAAGAGCTAATTTTTCGGAACGTAAATGCACGATTTCCTGGTTCATGCCACGACGCCGGTATATGGACAACATCGCCTGTAAGAATTAAGCTGATCAGAGAGCATGTTTCTGGAGCCTTTAAATGGCTTTTGGGCGACTCGGGCTACCCTTTAGAGCCATGGCTTCTTACGCCAATACCAAGCCCTTCATCTGCTAATGAAGAACTTTTCAATACGGTACATATTAAGGCAAGAAATACGATAGAGCGCGCATTTGGAGTCCTAAAGTCTCGCTTTAGGTGTTTATCCAAAGAGCGTGTGCTCAAATATACCCACACAAATGCCGCATTTATTATTTACACATGCGCAATATTTCACAACATACTGCAAAAACGACGAATTTTTTTATCAGAAGAAACCATGCTGCCAGAAGACTCCCCTCCCGATGGTGTGGGCATGAACACGCCAATACAATCAACGGAGCATTACTCTGAAGGCAGAAGGGCACGTCAAAGTTGCCTAAACGCATTAATAACATAAATTTTGAATTTGCATGTGTCTGAAGTTGTACAAATTGTGCTCATTTATGATGTACAACGTGGCGACGAATAATTGTTACCCAGGTTTTTTTTAGAAATAAAAGGGTCCTTTATAGATTTTGCGAAAAAAGTATCCCGGCAGGTTCTGCAATGCACTTCCGAGTGAATTTCAGTCAAGTTCGCTTTGAATTCAAATTGGTAGGGGTTGACATTCACTCGGAAGAGAATTGCAGAACCTGTCTGATTTTATTGTTAATTTTCCACAGATTTTATTTAAGTTGTATTAATTACTTTTTAAATTTTAATCCTTATTTACATTTGCCACCAGTGTAAACTTTGAGCGAAAAGTTCATTTGGACATGCCAACGGTGGCTAAAGTCATCAGTGTTATCAAAGTTACCGGATAAAGTGTAAAGAAGTTTAATCCTGATGACATTGACGGCCTATGCAACTTCACTACATTTACGTTACTAGGTCACAAGTTATAGCAGAAAAATTAGGTGAGGTTATCATTAACTAAAACAGTATGTGTCAATTACCTCGGCACCAACATTTGGAATATCAGCCATCCCATCAACAACGACTGAGCCAAGAGTGTCCAATGCCCGCTGGTCCCTCTCCGTAACTGCCTCTTCCAAGCAGGGACCTCCGCCCGTCACCAATCGATCGGCCTTTGCCTTCCTAGCCCTGGATCTTACTTGATTTTTCCAATGGGCTAGAGACTGAAATACAAATAATGTTCCAACTCTTATAACAACAATTTGGTAATATGATTTAAGATTTACCTCTTTCCATTTATTCGGAGTGCGTATCGGCCCTTTAAGAGCGTTAAGTTGCTCTGCTAGCTCTATCCACAGCTCCTGTATCCTTTTTGGCCGCGTCGGGTCATTTTTGTTGAGCTGCAACTCAGGGTGGCTCCGCATAAACGCCAGGTAGCACTCTATTTGCTCCTTGCTTGTGCGCGTTGTCTTTTCTGTATCTGTAAAATAAAAATACCTTATTTTCAAAGAAATTGAACAAAATAAGAAAAACTAAATTTATGTACAATTACTTACCTTCATCGGCCATTTTAGTTGAATGCACATAGTGATGAATACGGCATTAATCGATTGCTCACTTTTCTGGCCTTTATATATTCTCCCAGAAAATCGATTCAGATAAATTGCCTATAAAACCAAATGTCTAAACATTTTCTTATAAATTCTTTGTAGTTATCATATTCTTTATATTTCTAATGTACGATTTTGCTTTAAAAATGCGTTTAAAAACCTATTTTTTTATGTAATCGATAAATGAATATTTGTTGAACTATTTTATCATCCCAATTGGAACATGCTATCAGCTGATTGTCTCTGTTTGTATTCACCACACATTTTTGGTGAAATTTTTGTGACTCTCTCTTACTGAATACCAAAATTGTCTCAAGTCACAAAAAAAATCACAAATTGATAGTCTCAAATTTAGTGACTTGAGATGAGACTGAGTTACTGAATACAGCCATAAGTCATTTTCTACGTGAATATGTATACATAAATCGGTCGTTTTCTTTTTTTTTTTAATATATTGTTTATTTTTACAGTATGGAAACTAATTTAAACACGTAACAATCTAGCTAGTTTAGCTCTTTTATTTTTATATATGCATACATTAGTACATATGAAATCCATACATACGTTTATACATTTGTATCTGATAAGTATACGATTTAAATTATAAAAACTTGAAAATATACCAATATCATTTCATTTTTATGGGTTCATGGGAAGTGAAGATTTTTGGCTGTGAAGAAGATTTTGTTTTCATTAAAATCTTCAAATGAAGATTTTTTTTGACAAAAATGAATATTTTTCGACCACTTCCTCTGGCAACACTGTCGTCGCTATGACGACAAGATGTTAACTAACTTCGTTTTCCATCACGATCAGCGTTGCCGTATTTTGATACTTTCGGCTGGCAGAAATGAATTTTTGAAAACTATGAATAGTACTACTAGTCTAAAGGCAAATATTTTTTTCTTGTTATTTGAAGTCTCACAATTTATATATATATATTTATAAGTTGATTTGGTAACTCTTATAAGGGAAACACAACCCGGAATTTCTTTGCACACGCCACTGTTATAGGGCCCCTAAACCACACAAAAACATTACGCAATATAAGGTTTGCGCAATTTTATGCTGTAGTAAATTCCACAATATTGACTTGTACAAGTCTCGGGTTGCGCAAGGCTTTTGTGTGGTTTATGCAAATAAGCAGACAGAAGCATGAAATATAAATTTTTTTTATAACTATGTATTTAATTATAAAATTTTATTTATTATTTGTTTTTTTAAATAATAGTGTAAGAAACAGTTTTGTTTGCTTTTAATACTTTTTCTGCTTGGCAACTGATAAATTTTTTTCAAGCTCGCGGCAACGCTGATCACGATGTGTGTTTATGGCGAGATGTTAGCTTCATGTTATTCATAGTGGACGTGATGTTAACTCCAATGCTCTGTTCCGGGTCGCCATGTTATTCATAGTGGTCGTAATGTTAACTTCTCTGCTCTGGTCCGGTTTGTAATATTTAGTCTGTTCCTTTGAACTTCGGACTAAAACCTGTGGAACTGTTAAACTACAATTTTATAGCTGAAATACAATGCCGGCGAACGGCGAACTCACCACAGCGAAATTCGCGCTGTCAAAATTAGAACACCCGCAAGCATATGAAATTGAACACAGCCAAAGCGAAATGCGAAGTTCGCTTGGCGGCGTTTCATGGCGAT